ATATTTCATAAAACGTATATGACGTTATTACTGTATCGCTTCACAGTAATGTATCACACAGAAGCAAAACTAATGTTACAGACTTATCATCATAGACGTAAATGATATGAGTTAAGGTACCCTGATAAAATGTTTATTCGTAACTACATAATGATCACAAAATTTTCCTAAATTTAAATTAAGCGCTTAATTCAATCTTATTATTATTATTATTCAATGATAGTACGTATGAGATATTTTTAAACTAAATCAGTTGTTGAAGTTATTTAAAAATAAATATGTTACATTCCAGTTTTGATGTAAAAAAAACTTATCTGACATGCAAATGTTAATTACTTAGAGTCATGAAAATCACTTTTTAGACCAATCACAGTTTTTTTTCACTTAAATGTCGAGATTTACGCTGTAAATAAAATAATGCTTTCATTTCGAGTTTATGTGTTACTAATCAATGAAAGATCATGTTGGGACTTCACCTGGTATGACTGTGATTCGGCGTAGTGTCTTTCTCATTTTCAATACTACAACCAAAGACTCGATTACTATACTAACATTCATATAAAAAGACGACTTTCGTTTGTGTTACTAATCAATGAAAGATCATGTTGGGACTTCACCTGGATAATTCAGTAGAACACAACAAAATACTATCTATGTACAGATAAATCCATAATGGTAATAACTCAAGTTACGGGTTCGCTTATTTTTAATCTATCATTATTTTATCAATAAAGAATATTTTCAGTTGTATAAGTAATTCAAATGAATATCAGGCAAATAATTATATTCTTTACATAGTTATAGTTTCATAGTTATTACATTAATGTGCAATAATTAAAATGCAATCGAAAGTGTAGCCCACAAATTATTAATATTGTTTACTTACAACCAGATCAATTATCTCATAATATGTAACAATTTAATCATATTCAATCATCAAATTTTTATCAGTAGTGCTTCAGTTAGGTTCTTCTAACATTTATTAAGAAGACTGAAGAAATCACTGTTATGAATAGATTTTAGAATTGATGTATACACGTATATATATATATATATATATATATATATATATATATGTATAAATATGTATTTACGATTGTAAGACATTGATCGTTTTCTGTCTTTGGTAACATATTTTTAGTTATTGAATTCCTGAAAAAGTTTTTGTGGCCAAATCGCTTACATGTACACAGATAAATAGATAGTTTCTCTGAGCAAGATAAGTCATCCATTGTTCTGAATAAGTACATGGAAATTTTAAATGATTGTTGATTTACGAACAAAAAATTTGATGGAACTATAACTAAGTGATCAGTTTATTCATGTAATTTTTATTTAGTGAATTAACAATTCCAAATCACTTTCATTCATTTAATCAAATTCAACATCTTATGATTCTGGTGTTAAATTAACAGTTTAAATAACTTGACTGAATTAATTTTTATCTTAATTCAAGAAGAATCGATTTAACTCACAGGGCTATAGTGAACTATAATAAAATTTCTTTGAAATATTCTCTGGTCTTTGAAAATTACCTAAGAGAAAACTAAACATTTTATATAATTTGGTTTCTTACTATTTAAATAAGTTTACTTTTTAAAGTTAAAATCTATTTGATAAATACAATCTACCATTTCATCCAGTAAATAAGTTCCCGAATTTCCAAAATGAAAGTTTAATAAATAGAATAATTCAGAATTTACGAAAGTCTATTCAGTGATACTCTGTAATCAATTATTATAACTACTGGTCGTGCCTTCCAGCTTTGAGAATGCCAAATTATTTTGATATTTACCAGATTATCATTCTACTTTGCATTTATAAATAGATAGTCATAATTATAAATATTTTCGGTTCCTTTAGTTTTACCTTTGTGAAGAATCCAGACCTTCCATCAACAGATAACTTTACCTTCCAAATCTTGATAGTAGGACAGATCGATAAAGTAGTGTGTAGTAATTATTCCTTATGAATAACCAATCAGAATAAGATTTCTCGGTTAGGATTTCTGTTTTTGGCACTTATGATACCTTTTTCTTTTCCATAGAATTAGTTCTAAGCGTCTTTATCTCTCCTGATGTTTGAGAACTGACATTCACTGTTAAACTTTATCATCTGAATGAGACAATACTTTCAGATAATTTTAACAATATGTTTTAATCATTAGAAAGGCTACTTTGCAATTTAAACTCTCACTTATCACTTTTTAGTCTTATTTAATGCTTTTAACTTAGATTTTCGGTCAGCCTCGACAACACTGTAACTTATTTTCATTGAAACGTTATTTAGTCGATTTATTTTGAGAATTCGAATAAAATTAAAAATGAATAATAGAAAATTATTGGTACTTTTATTCGTTAAAAAGAATAACAATTTATTATCTGAATTATTGTATGTAAAATAAAGTTTTCTGTGAAATGATATATCTCAAACTGAAAACAACATCATTTGGTCAAATCTATATTTTGAATACACATTGTACCTTTATTTTTAGTAAATAATATTCTCAGAACTTATAAATTTAATATGTTTTATTCCAGTAATGCCTAACTAGAATTTATTCGTCTACTTAAACAGTTTTGTAAATATTTCACAGAATAATTTGAATATTCACTGCCTGCAACAATTAGCAATACTTACTAATTAAAATGTGTAGATCAATTAGCTAGGAGTATTTGGCAAGATTATTGGTAGGAAACTATATTATAATTCAATGACCCTCAAGATGTCTTTTTAGAATAAAATTTTTTAGTTCAAGTCAATACAACTGTAAATATTACATGATAATAAGTGAAAATTTTCTTACAGAATTGCATTATGAATTTAGGGAAAACAATGCAAATAAGTAAAAAAAATATTTCTATATTATTTTGAAAAATTTTAAGCAAATGATAGTGATTTGTAAGCTGAATACAGTTTTTTCAATCTAATCAAACCTACAATTACAGTATTATCTTGAAATAAAATAAATAAACATGTCATTCATTTTGTAAATATCATGGGCCAACAGTAAAATCCAGTTTATAAGTAAATAATGTTTGCAATCGAAAAAAAGGAGTTACTCTTTTATTCATCCAGTCAAATGATTGAAATTTGAATTCAAAATGAATTATGATTTTGTTTACCTGCTTAGATGACCATCTTAATTATCTTTGCATCTTATCAAATGAGATCAATCCAGTATAAGTCATTAAACTTTATATTCGATTGTCAGTTATAATTATAAATGAGTAGGATGTTTTAAAGTTTTTGATGTAAATGTATAATGATTTGTTTTGTACCCACCAATTATATGTAATCAGTTTTATTTGTTTATTCACTGTCCTAAGATTGCTGTTCATTTACCTTAAAGTGACAATTTCTACAGCGTTAATCACAATACGAATCAAAGAAGCCGTTTAATTAACATAGATTTTATGTACAAACAATACATATTATTGAACTGACCTTGAGAACAGAAGTATTAAATATGTTTTTGATTTAAATGGTTACTGATATAAACAAACATATAAAACTCATTCTATTCAATTCAAGTGACTACGTTTAATTCTGAAGGAAGAACACTGGTTTCAATACACAACAGTTTTAAAATGTTAGCTAATCAATATCAAAATACATTTACTATCATAATAGTTACATCTGAATTCAGTTGTATTGGTTGTTTAAATCTTCTCACTGATATTTTTAAACCGCCTCGATATTGCCTTTAAGTTATAAGCACTATTAGCCGAGGTGGTTAGTCACAACTTTCTCACACCAAAAATTTCTTATACACGAAATCATAAGCGATCAAGTCAAAAGTTGTAAGCTATATCTGTGTGGTTTTTTACAATCCTAACTACTTTCATTATCCAAACACTTTAACATTTTCGCATCCTTCTTTGATGAATTTTTATTTAATTAAAAGTATATTCTAATGAAATATCATGTTTAATGCAGTTCAATCTTAAATGGTTTGTTTGTGATAACACCAACTGTACTAATTACCTGCTAACATTGACCAAGAGGAATAATTCTCTGTTGCTTTAGAAAGCTGAATATGAAGTACATACTGACAACTAGGGGTTATTACACTAACTGTCGACAATTATGTGACATTAAAAAAAGGCAATAAAAAGATAGCAAGTTGTTTGATTGAATAATCCAACTACACATTTAAATTCATAAAATGTTATCTGAAATTAGATGTAGACAGTTATATACTAGTTAAAATATAATTATTTGGTCAAAATTATAATGAATAATAATAATAATAAGTCTTTCAATTACCCTATCAAACAACAAATCAATAATTAATCGAATTTTGTTTTTGATAAAAATTAAATCATTGTGGCTAAAATTAAAAATTACAAACTACGGCGTTCTGTCATTAATTTAAATGATAATTTCTAAATCTAAACAACGTACAAATTAATTTTTAATGTCACGTAAGTTTTACTAAAAATATTTCTTTTGTACCAAAAATTGATAGACATCTATCAAGTTTAAATAATATTTTGAAATATTTCAATCCAAAAATTTTCTCAACTTTCTTTATCATATCTGATTTTTGAATAAAGTAATTCAAAATAAACTATTTTTATTTCATGAGTTGCTATAAACATTAAAAATTTAATTTGTTGATTGTAGGTTGAAAGTTTTTAGTGACCCAATGCGTAATGGTCTAATGTATGAACCTTTTCTGCATTATTTGCAAGCTTCAAAGCAGAATATTGATACGAGAACAAAGTACGGTCAGCGGGCGAATCCGATAGAAAACGATACATGGGTCGTCTAACATACTAGTAGTCATTTTTTAGAACAAAATCAAGTTTCTGACGATAATTTTCAAGTAATCTAACAAACTTGTGGAATTCAGTTTACATACATCAACAACCTATTTATGACTGTTGTGTTAAGTGTCATTTGAACCTAAGCAATTCCATGCGTATGTCTATTTTTCTAACCGATAATTAAAAATACAAACGGAACATTTGAATATTACTTAATAACTATCTTACCTGCGATATCCATTTTCGTCTTTGTTTCAATGTTGGCTCTGTTTCCTCATACTCTGTGGGAACTTTTTCAAATCCCCCTTTTAGCTCTCCATTATCATTTGGCATTTCAAATGTATCTGTGATAAACAAAAGTAGTGATTTAATTTTAAAATTTTGATAATAATAAACAAATAATAATAACATCAAAATTATTACCTGTTTTCCAGGCATTTGTTAAAGGGATTAAAAGACAGTAGATAATTAAAGTTGCTATTGACAGAATATGCCAAGTCAAAAATTTGTTCATGTTGATGTCGTATTTTGAAAACTATTGTCAAATGTTATTAACGTATGAAAGTTAAAATGGTTCAAATTATATTAATTTATAGAATAAAAGATACTTTTTTAAATAATGTTGATTAAATTCCACCTTATTGGCTAATTTTATTAATCACAACAACTAACCAATCGTAAAACAGGATAGAATGGGTTTTTTCACTAACTCAATTAACATCGTCACTGCAATTGGGATATGGAGAACTTTACACAGAATACATCATAAACTTCATTTATTTTTTGCCTAATTAGCCTTTAGAACCACACTCTCTTGTTTCGTGATTTCATGTGAAGCTGGTAAAGATGAATAAAACATGATGACTACTTTAAAATACTTATTCATAACAGGAAGAAACTTCTTACCATTAACAATCATTGAAATTTCATAAATATTAGAAACTTCATGTTTTGTATGTTTATGTATAACAATCTAAGCAAGTTAATCAATAAGTATTGAAATGCCAACTTTTTGTCTTGTTTGTCAAACTATTCAGATTCTGTCTATCGATTTACGAAAGGACAACTAGACTAAGCAACCGGAAATTGAAGTAAACCATTTTATCGTTCTATACAGATCGAAACCGTGAATAGGAAGCATTAAAACAAGTTTCACGCTACTGTACACTTATCAGATAGATACATCTGCTATCGCTAGCGCGTTGATACCTTTACAACTTACATCATTTGATGCCATTTAATATAAACGAAAACTTCTTGTTAAGAGGTCACAATAAGTGTATTTCACACGTAAGGATAAGAAGGTATGTCTTTGTGCCATAACAAGTGAATAATTTTTAGATCTAAAATGAAATCCTATAAATTGTCTCATAATAAGTCAGTAGTTATCTGTCGTCAGTTACTTTGTAAAGCTCTGATCCATGAGTATTTTGTCACTATCATTTGTTTAATATCTGTTGACTGAAGTTGTTTTCGTGAAACCTAACTAGTCTACTTTCTTCAGGCCACCTAACATATTTGATGTTTAGGATTTAGTTTAGGACGGTGCAGAAAATTTGTAATTCAGGTGGATGATTATGAAAGAGTTCCGTTCTCTGAGCTGGATATTTTGGTTGTGGTGCTGTCACTGTACTTGTGAAAAACATCATCAGCACAAACTTGAGGTAGAAGTGAAGTAATCGAATTTTTCTACTTGTGACTCTTATGACTCGAGTACCACAAAAACCAACAGAATCACTTCAATCAATCACATGTAAACCAATGGACTAATCGACGAAAGAAAAAAACCAAATATCATTTACAAAATAAACTGTTCAAACTGCGGAAAACACTACATCGGAAAAAGTGAACGTCCTCTTCATTTTCGCCTGCGTGAACATCGATTGGCAGTCGAACGCCACGACATTTCTTCCCCTATATGGACAATTATGGACATACATTTGATTGGAAAAATGTTGATATATTGGATGGGGTGAGTTCAAAGAACACTAGAGACATTTTAGAAGCTTGGCACTCAAGTCAATCAGATATTAACAAACACATCGACATTGACCCCATTTATCAACCAATCCGAAAAATCGTAGGCTACCATAGGAGCAAGAAACAAATCAAAGGGGGATACGATCAAAATAAAGAGGCAGACTATGACAGGCTTACGGCAAATAGCAACTAATAGAGATTGAGGTCAACAATACACCGCCACGAGTCATACATGGAGTAATTTGAATATTTCACTTGTACTGTGAGTTTGTGCAGACCATGTCTCTCAGATGAATAATGAAAGCTCCACAACCAAAACATCCAGCTTAAAGGACGAAACTCCATCATGAAGATTTAGTTTAATTTGTGTTGTGCTTTTGGCTTTGATAATGGTTTATCTTCGATTTTTCAATCCTGTTAACCAATATACTTTTCATGTGTTCAGATACAACCCATAAGACTAATGATAATGATCATGTTAGAATAAAAAGCTTACCTAACAACTCTTGATATACTAAAAGATACAAGGTTCTAACTAGCGTGAGACTGCGTACTTATTGAAAAAACACTGAACTAGGACAGGAGAGGTGTTTGCAGTCTCAGAGTTTTTGATGGAAATTTAGGTGATATTATTACGCATTGGTGATTATCTGTACATCGAAAAAATTAAGTATTTTTTATTATGCTTATATAATACAAAAAGCAGTGCAAACTGGTATTTAATTTATCTGAAGTAAAGGTAACTGTTGCAAGTATTACATCAATGTAGATATGTCTTTAGATATTCCTCTGTTTACTGAATTATGGGATGATAGATTCCTTAGAGAGTTAGTGAGTTTTTGAGCTCCGTTTTTTAGATGAATACATGTAGTCTAACTCCAGGTTCTGAGAAGTCTTCAATATTGAAAAACACTATTATTTCGTTAAGTATTGATGAGTTCTCGTCTTCAGAATGTTTTGTGTAAACATTCTGAAGAAGCCACTTTGATAAATACTTGATAGAAATACTTTGAAAAGCTATCATTACTCTGGATAATGGGATGAGAAGACAAACGTTATCAGAGCTATGTGATATATTTACACAATACATTTTGATCATTGTGATCACCCATATACTTGTAAAGACGTTATACACGAAAAATGTGTAAAGGTGACGGAAATGAAGATAATAATAGTAATGGTAAAGTGCACAAGAGAGTTTTCGTTTACATATATCCAAGGCTTCTATGAACCTTAGTATACATCATTAAATACTATAGTATAACACTGCAAAGGCTTATTTGATATACACCTTATGCTTTGCAATGCAGGATGATATTTATCTTTCCCATGATCTCATTTGAGCATTTATGTATGCGCGATCTGTCTATTACAGTTTTGATATACCCAAGCACCTTTTTTTCCTTCATAATTAGTTAACTTTCTTTTCATCAGAAACAGAATTTCCGTCTGTTATGTTTTATGGATTGTAAAAGGTGGCGGACTGATGTCGGAGATTTTATTTATTCTAATTCCGATAGCTCTCTTTATTATACAATAATGGAATCATTGGTTTCGGGTACATTTTAGATAAATGAATGTGAATAATCATGATTCTCTGTGTGCTCATTCGGATCCGCGTAATATCATACGTTGTACTTATAAGTTGATTAGAACATTTAAATTAAGATTCTTAACATAGGTTTATGTGCAAGGTAGAGAAACACCTTTTCTTGTATCAAAAACTCGGTCACATTAGATACAAATTTTAATAATCATATAAACGCCTCAGAACAAAATCGATCTTATGTCTCTAGTTTTTAGTCATTTTTGTTATTTTGTTTTAGTATTGATTTGATAAAGGGATTGAGTGAGAGATTTCTCACTCTTAGACGATATGCACTTCACATTTTCATTTATGATCCTGTAAATGACAGACTTGTTTGTAGTCCAGTTAATTTCTTCGGCCTCTAGTTACTTTCCTTCATTGATTATATCAACATAACTAGATAAAATTTACTAATATTTGTCTTTCTGCCTTTATTTAGCAGTGTTTAGTGGTCGGCGAATCAACAGTATGTTAGATCTTAGTAATGAAAAGACAATTCAAATTAATGCATCTATGGAGTCAGATGTTTCATTCACAGACCAGCTTACATTAGGGTAATTTAATCATGAGTTAAAATGCATATTGGTTTTATTTTAGAGATGCTAGTTCACAAATAACATCCTATATTGATGATAGTTCGAAGCATCTTAATTGTATTAATTACGCTGTCATTTAATCATTCAATTTTTTACTCGGTTCCACCTTGTGGTGGTTGTTAACATACACTTATTTTGTAAACAGTTTTGTTGTTTTTTACATTTTTCCTAATTTAACTTCTTTTGCACAGCCACTGTTATTGAATATCAAAATTGTTTTTTAAAGTTAATCTCAATTTCCAGCCACTGTTTTATTCTGAACTTAAGTGTCATATTAATTACTGCTCTTAAATACGATCACACCAGAATACTGCTCATTTCCACTCAGTCAGCTTCCGGAAAAATAGATCTCTAATATAACTGTTATCTACGCTCACAGATCATAGCGATCTTCTCATTATTCGAGTGTTCTTGGCATACATCGATTTAAATTGTATATATCGTATTTGGACAGTATCAGTCACCTTTTATGATTATGGATCGAAAGACCGAAAACTGCTGATAATCCCAGTAACCGTCTCCTACGTAATTAGATGTCACTTATTGTTCTATATTCCTTTTTGAAACAAGTTTATCACCATTTCGATAATTATGAAAAACATTTGTCGGTCACAACCCTGATTTTTATAAAAAATAATGAGGGCTGAAACCTATTTCAACACAATCGAATGATAAAGCAGTGTTTTGGAACACTGAATCAAAAGGTCTTGTTTTGAATAAAATTGTCAATGATGTAAATAGATATGGACTAAAAACATTTTATTGACGAACCTTGATTCTGACAGTTGAGGGTCAACCAACATGCCTGCAGCACATGCACACACGTTGCTTTTTACACATCAGAAAGTTTCACACGTTTACCCAAAAGGGTATGTACATGTCGACTAGAATTTCACGCAAGCAAGTCGGACATCCAACCAGTGTGCTTACGAGCATCACCCCTACCTGGATGCTTATGAATCAATCCAGTCCCTCCAACCAAACCACTACCCACAATTCCCAATCGGCATGAGCGACAAGACGGGCTTACCTAGCTAGTCCTTGCACCCTGGAACGGATAACCGAGCCAACCAGCAGTGCACTAACTAGCAGCCATTCCAACCGTCTGGCCTCCAGCTACCCTGCGACGATACAACCAAGCGGATCCACAGAACTCACATAAAGCAAAAGATCGAGTTTGTCCCACAAGGTCAGCCAGAATGTACACCATTCCATGGGGTAGATGTCATAGGCTCGACCAAGCGCAAGCACTCAGCCGAGCACGGTTAATCCCACTACATAATGGTGGGCGGGCATCATTTTCGATCAAGTACCTTTTCAGCAAAGGATTCCATAACCCGACTGGAGACCCTTGTTTAAGGGGCCCCGACGACAGTCGACACACTACACCGAGATGCAGTTTTCGGGACAACCAAATAGGTTC